GAAAATGATTAACTTATCGACAACAATAGTTGAATAGCCCCATTAGCCAACCTCGAGAGGAGAGAGTGCATGGGGTGAAATGATTAACTTAAGACCGTCCTGGCACTTAGGTGTTGAACAAAAGGGATGTACACTAGAACAACTTTAAGCCACTTAGAGAGCAAATTTCCAAAAATAACCCCAAAGCAGGAATGGGAATTTCCAAAACTAAGCCCGAAGCAGGACGAAGAGCACCTCAACTCCCGCTTCTAAATAAGTAGAATTTAAGGAAAACAACAAAAACATCAAGACAGATACATATTCAAATGCTAGGAGAGGTAACAACGACAACAATAAAACCCAATAAAATCTAAAAAGTAGGGTTTTGGAAGGGCAATGCTTACACAGATCTTATCTCTATCTTATGAAGGTATAGATGTTGTTTCCAATACACCAAATTCAAATGATAGGAGAGGTCAAATAATTATCTATACTGATCGTGAATGATATTCATGAGCCAGATACAACGTAAATATATGAACCAAGAAGTGGAATGAAGATGAAAGTACAAGCCAAACTATAAGCAAAATGTGTGGTGTGCTATGCACCAACCAATATAACCAAGTTAAACTGGAAACAAAGTTCTCCACACAACGATCACAAGCTTTAAATATTACAACCAAGTGGAAGATTATAATGATTGTGCACTCTTCTCCCTCAAAGTTAGAACGGCAAGTTCAATACAGCGAAGAAACTTAAAGCACTCGTCGAGTGATTTCACCATTTTTTGCTGCCTTCTTCAAATTTTGGAATCTGTATGCATGTCAAGAAACTTCATGTCCTTTTATCTTTCGTTCACTCTTGTTTGGAGCGGGTTTCTGATGAATCACCATCTTGATTTTTCCCTAACTGCTTTACGCTAGCTTTGGCCTCTGCCAGGAATTTAGGATCAGGTTCATGTTTATCTGAGGGTTCTCGCATTGCCAAGCATATGTAAAATGCAATAACCACATTGACTGATATGACGGCAACAAATCCGCTCAGTAATGTCATAGAATGAGGAGACATGTCAGTTACACCTGTTCCAGATGGACAATGGTTAGTTAAGAATCATAATCTCCCTGACTACAAGGGAAAAGAAAGTTCGGCCCAGAAAAGCATAGTAGTATGATATCTTATGAAGATATAAGCACTTTAATTTAAAATGGTCATATAAAAGATATTGATCTTAACGCCAATAAAAGCAAGAAGAATGATGAAAGAATATCGTCTCCAAAACTTGGATCTACATATCGCGGGAATATGACCTTAGCAGTAAATGTAGTTGTGATATCAGATGACATGATTTCAGGGCTCAAAAAGGTCTTTCTCTATCTCTCCAGAGCAATACATGCAACATTAAAGCGTTTTGCAAATCTGCCATCTAGGTGAAAATTATCGATTGCATTCACAGGTCCTGCTTTATGACTCTCCAACACCTGCGGTTAAAGGCCACTTCTATTCCCGGTGCTTATTCTTTACATTTTTCAAAAGAGTATTACCCAAAAAGGTCAGTTGGTCATTCAGATAGGAAAAATCACTTCGGTTCTTAAACATGACATCAGAGATATTTGTGTGACATGCAGAACCATACAGGAGGCGAATAGAGAAACCTTAAAGGTCTGCATAGTTAACCCATAAATAAAACATAGTTATTGTTGTGGTTAGTAAAGATAAATACAAATTCTGTCATTGACTCTACAGGTTTCAGTCACAAGTAAATGGCATGCCTTACCTCCTATGCTGCCAATGAGAATTGATTCCGAAATCCAGACAATACTCAACAAATTAACTAGATTATGAGGATACACAACAACAACAACAACAACAACCACTCAGTGTAATCCCAAAAGTGGAGTCTGGGGAGGGTAGTGTGTACGTAGACCTTACCCCTACCTTGTAAAGGTAGAGAGGCTGTTTCCGAAAGACCATCGGCTTAAGAAACAGTAAACATGAGGAAGCAACCAACTATAATAACCCGAAGAAAAAAACAAAGACACTACGTATAATAACAAAGATCCATAAATAAGAAATGCAAGAATAGCACTAACAATACTGGTAACAATGACACAACATGGAATAACAAAGATCTAGGAACACGAAACAATGACATCATCTGGAATTGTTTAAAAGGACTTTCTTTTAATTTAAGGATGCCCAGAATTAATATAAGGGACCCAATCCCCTAGTTTGGGATTAAGACACAGTTAAATTGATGTTAAACTTCAGCATTTAAGAGAAAAAAACAGCTTGATGATTCATCAGCTTCTATATATTCAGCAGATCAGTTGTGGATCTCATGCCACATCTTCTAGAAAACGAAGATTGACAGCTGATCTTGAGATCCCTGAAGAGCTATGCTATGAAATAAATCATCCATGTCATGTCTTGCCCTCTTTAGCAAGAGGGTTATCAAGATCTTGACAATATTATCTGATCTATCAATTTCTACATTTCATTGATACGCCCAATCCACCAAGTGATCCACAAAACTAGGCGTCGGAGAAATACATAGGTGCAAAAACTCAAATTACTAGATAAGGAGACATTTACCAAGGCTTTACATGGACACATGCGTAAAAGAAAATACTTCGCTGCAATATTTGGTTGATGGATGAGCTTGGGACTTTTTCACCCATGGAAGGGGTGAGTCATATTACCAATTTAGTGTAGTCTTTTACAAACGTTTCTTCCCCAAAAGAATAGACTTCCACATTCCACAGACCCAAGTCAGAAGGTGAGGACTGAGGACTAGATATGATTCAATTAGAATATAATGTACTATTCAGGGGCTTACAATTCTAACTGAATAGTGCAAAGCAATATTCTTGACATAGGCTAGTTTTTATAGTTATCAAATGTCAGAGCTAGTGCAGCAGCTTAAAGGAGTAACTGACAAAGATGTTTCTCAAACTTCCAAGACGCATCTTTGGCCATCAGTTAAAGAGAAGTAGACGTAAACAAACTAAGTCATGGCAGATAATCTGGTCATAAATCCAGAATAAGCAATTGTATGTCAATGTGTCACAAATCGGAGCGGGTCCAATTTAGTGTTCCCATCTAATGCAGAGTTGGTCTAAATTGAAGAAAAAAGGGAAGATGATTGGGAGTCTAAAATTTTTTAAAAAAATCTGAAAATTTAAATGTAATTTCCTAGCAAAAATTAAGGGCGTGCAGCCACTAGAAAACGTAAAGAATCACAAAAACAGTGACTTATTACCCTTAACTCTACACAGAAAGACTAGACGGAAAATATACCAGCTTTCTTGGCTGCACGGGATAAGAGCTCTTCAATAAGATGCTGAGCAGGATCCCCATCAGGGAATTTCTCCATGAAATTTTCAACACTAAACCCTATAATTTTCTTCATGTTCTTAGCTTGATGTACTCATGAGTCATGATGAACAATATAACTTGCTCTCATTTTATGTCGATCCGAAGGCAACGAAAGCCCTAAAATTGTCCTCCATCAATGCTACTAGGTACTCTCTTCTAATTATTCAAATATAATGAACGTGTTAAAGTGAATAGGCTATTTCACAGAAGGTTTTAAAAATCTGTAATAGAATAGACAATCTTAAAGGTTTGAAAAAGCAAGTTCAAACCTTCTAGCCCTGCACATGCAGATGAGAAAACTATCACAGGAGGGGCACCAACAAGAAAGAGATTATGAAAAAGCAATTAGCTATGAAAGATCAGATATTCTGCAGAAGTTGGGAATTAACAGGAGATGGAGCTGAGCCATCTAACCGCTCACATCTTCAAGTTAATAATCTAAGATATCAATATGTTATTGTGGTTCCCTTATTCAAGCAGCAAAAAGTGTCACCAAACCCATCCAAATTTAGAACTTCACTTCAGAATAATCACAAGGAAATTTCCAGTAACTTTTAATTAGTATTATCCAGAAGTACTCCAAACGGTGAAAGGTTCTCTGGTCGATAAAGCATGGATATTACACTTGCCTTTTCCTACTCATCAAATTGCGAGCTACTGTACCATGCGTTTATTTTTTATTTTTTGATATGTATATAAATGGATAGAGAAGGAATCAGCAAGCATTGGTTGGGCAATCAACCAGATAAGTGTCCTAGAAACTCAGCACAGCTACACATGGCTGCACCAGGAGGCGAACTGGTCACAAATCCATCATAAGTACCTGCTATAATTCATCATCTTCCACTTTATCCAAGTACTGACCAATTAATATTTTTGAAAAAAAAATTCTGGTGTGCGATTTAAGACTAAATAAGCAAGGGGCACATTTGAGAGAGCATTCCTACCAAGCCTACACCCCCCGCCAACAAAACAAGAATTCATCTTTTCTCATTTGAGTACTTGAAAAAAGGTAAAAATATAATTAAAATTTTCTTCACAACTTCCCTATTTAAGCATGACCAACCTCTCACATTCTTGAGCAGAGTTCGACATCAAATAATAAGATAGCAATCAGCAGTAAGTAAAACATGACTATTACCGTCCCTTTTCTAATATTCCATTAATTCAAATGATAGAACATGTTCTGAGGCCAAAACATAATTGTCCCAGAAACCCAGACAAAGCACGAAGATGGACTTCCCATTCCGACCCTGAGAACATATTGACCAAGATGGGCTTGGAAATTATATTCAAGCAACAAAGACTCCGGGGCAGCACAAAGTTGAGCAATTAGTTGGCAAAAATCTGCCACATTTTTTCTTATGGCCCACAAACTGAATGCAAACACAAACGAAATACCACTGATATCAAATGTAAAAGCACAACAAAGAAATAAAGGCAAGGTTCTCAAGCATAACAATAAAATGAAAGGAATAGTCAAAGATTTTGAATAATAAATAAGAAAGTATTCTAGCTATCTAAGACCTATCAATACCTACTTTAGGATGGCCATCAACTGTCATGTGTAATCATTTATAAAGCAAAATTTGTACCAAGAAAATTAGGGAACGCTCACCAGGAATTAAGCTGTGGTTAAAGGCGTACAAAATTGCAACGGGAGCTGCCCACATAATCAAAGATGTGATAAAGAACTTATTCACGACTCCCGCCATAGTGCTACCAACATGTGAAATAAAACAGAATGGATGAAGTATAACTTGATAAAATCATTTATGGAAGGCCAGAAAAAGAAAATCAATTAAAAGCACCTGAATCATGAAAAAAGAAGGAAGTTCATAAGGTACTTTTGCTTCGAATGGAACATAATATGTCATTACAGGCAGATGCGAATCCAGGATTTAAATTATATGGGTTTAACTTTTAAGGGTTTTAGCATTAACACATTATATTTTTAAAGTTAAAGGTTCATATCTACTATTTTTGCGATTTTAATAAACTTTTACTCTGCGTCTAAAGTTATTGGTTCAATTGAACCCGTTGGTAACACACTACATCCGCCCCTGATTACAGGCTGAAATCTCATCCAAAAGATTTTTCTTTTCCTTCCTATTTTGACTTCTTTGAAGTTTCTTTCCGTTGCCACAGCTGACAAAAAGACATTCTTTTAGACATTCCTATGTAGAAAAACGAATTTTTCCCAGTAGTTACTTTACCAGATCTTTATTCTTCTTTTACTTTCAAACCCAACTTGCCTAACCTTGATAGTAACCAAAATTATTTCCCTACAGTGAAATAAACAGATTGTGTGTTAACTATCATAATTCCAGGATATGGGTCTTGGATCTTAGATCAGAAGTATAGGTTCCAACATGAGTTCATGTGAATTTCATCTCAAGAACAGAAAAACTCAATAAACCCAGATAATAAATGCAGAAATAATGCAAAAAGATAACTAAAAATTGAATTTTTATGATAAATTAGAGTTTAGTTGATAACCCAACTTGCAATTTGATGATTTGGCAGTAGCGGAATTGCGGGAACAACAGCGAGACAGTGAAAACACAAAAAGGAAGGAACTTACTAGTTGAATCTAGAGAGAGAAAAAGCTGCAAAAAGAGTTAGAGTAGCATAGCAATTCGGTTTGATCTGAGTAAAAGTATCAGCTATCCAATCTGAAAGAATTTCCGATTATATATTAACTCTGTTTTTTTTTTTTAAAGGAAGGAGCTCTGCTGTCTGGCTGTCTGGGCTTCTCTTATGTGGCTTTACCTTTGGTCTTGCCCTCCACAAAAAGAAAGAATATATATAGCCCCTAAAAGAAAATTTAAAAAAAAAAATTGCTTAACATAAATGGTAGTAGTACATTAAGTGAGCGTTTGGACATAAGAACTGTAAAATTTCGGAAAAAGGTGAAATAAAAATAGTAGTATTTAAAAAATTAGAGTTGTGCTGGACATGAATATAATTTTAGGTTGTTTTTGAATTTTGTGAGTGATCTAAGTGAAAATTTTGAAAAACAGCTTTCTGGAGTTTTTCAAATTTTCGAAAAAATTTCAAAATTCATCACAAGTGAAAATTAAAAATTTTATAACCGACACTAATTTAAAACAAGTGAAGATTTTAGTAAAAAAAAGTTTTAAAAAATTTCATGGCCTAACGGGCTCTAATTTGAGCAATCAAGTGTTTCTACAAAATCAATTGAAAGACTACATGTTTCTTTTACATAAATAATTGTTATTATTTATGATTTATTTTATGGTACATAATTACTAATGCTATGTTTGGAGTTGTAGAATATAGCTAAGGATTATGTGTCACAAATATAGCCATAATAGAGAAAGAATCGACCCAACAACCAATTCGATTCATAGACTGCTTGTCCGACTGAATACCTGTTAGAACGACATCATAAAATGCTTAACCTTTCAATTTGTTGACTGAACAAAAGTTTTTGGACTTGCTCTTTTTATCTTTTTCATATTAACAAAATATTTTGAATTATTAATTATATTCAGTTATAGGAGTTTTATGGACTTTTTAAAATATGTATATATTTTTTTACAAAATTTGAAAAATTTAAGTTTGAATTCATGCTGAAAATTGAAAATTTTGTTCCACCTACTCTTGTATCCCACCACATAAATGAAATAGATCAGTACTATTAGATCATGATTAATTAACATCTGATTAGCAACTAATACTCCTAATTAACGTTAAAATAACTTGGTTTGTGAAACATCAGTTTATTCGTTGTATTAGATTGAGTTGGAGTTGGGTTGGGTGAGGCCACAAAGGATTGCGCCTACTAACTACAAACAAAAAAAAAGGAAATAAACAAATAAATATGTAAGAAATTGAAATTAAAAAATTGTATGGTTGTGATCATGAAGTCTCAATAATTTAATCCGTTTTTAGAACATACCAACGCTTGTGCCTCTTTTAAGAGGGAAAAAAGGAAAATGATATTATATAGTCGCTCTCAAAATAACAGTCGAAGTAATATATATTTTTTGTGTATATATATATCTGCATGTTATATAAAAAATTTGTACACTTTTTCGGCTATCGAATCTAAATAGTTTCTGGCGCGCCAAAATTATATTAAAAAAAAAAGAAACTCGTATAATTTTTCATCATGTGATGTTCTCCTTATTCATTAATTCGAAGTATTCCATTACAAGTGATACTAGTATCATACGGTACTAAGCTATAACTAGAGGAAGATACAGTAATAGTGCTACTACTATTAACATACATAAGATAACTAGAGGAAGATACAGTAATAGTGCTACTACTATTAACATACATAAGATTGTTTGCATTGTAGTTACTATTACATTCAACCGGTGCCTGTGATGATAGGTGATAATAGG